CGTGTGATGAAAAATGGGTTCTTTTTGACAATCACAAGCATTTGGCACAATGGTTGGATAAAGATGAAGTGTCAAAACACAGTCCAAAATCGGATATTCTAAAAAAAAACTAATGGTGTCAGTTTGGTGGTCTGGCTCTGATATTATCCACTACAGCTTCATGAAACATGGTCAATCCATTACAGTGGATGTCTACTGCAACCAATTGGATGAAATGATGAGGAAGCTTGTGATTAAGCAGCAGAGACTGGTCAATAGAGACAGGCCAATCCTCTTGCAAGACAACGCTCGACCACACGTCGCACAAACAATGCTGCTCAAACTACAGAGGCTGGACTTGGAAACTCTCTGTCATCCACCATATTCACCAGACCTTGCGCCAAGGGACTGCCACTTCTTCCAGGCTTTGCTAAGTGAAAGAAGCTAGTCATGAAAGGCCAGATATTGTATAATCCCATTGACATGAAATGTCTAGAATAGGCCAAACTATAGAGAGGGGAAGAAGATTGGCGGTTGCCATGGACCGGGAGAGAACAGGGAGAGGTTAGAGGAAGTGGGCCGTGATCGCTAATGAGAACAGGGCTGGTTTTTGCGGTGATAAAAATATTTTAAAGTTGATTGTGGTGATGGTTATACAAGTCTGTGATATACTAAAAACCATGGAGTTGTATACTTTAAATGGGTGAAATTATACGACCTCTTGTTAGCATGGTGGTGGCTTGTTTTTGTTGGACCCTGAACTAATAATGATTGTAACATTTGTTTTGAAAAATACATTTCCCCTCCTCTTTCAAGAGTTCCCCACAGGATGCCTTCTGTGGAACAGGGTTGTTTGCCCTCGTGACAGGTGCAATGGTAACACTATACCCCATCAGTGGGGAGTTCTCGTTGAATGTGTGGGCACCAGGAGCTCACCAGGGAGGGACATGTCCCTGCTCCAAGGGAAGGGTCCCTGAGGGCAGAACAGAGGAAGAAGTAGAGCCTCTTCCCCTTTCTTATCCTTCTTCTTTCCACCCTGATTATGCCACGAATCTATACGCAATGAACAGATGGGAAGACTGAGGCCCAGAAACAACCCAGCCCCGGGTCCTGTGCCCAGATGGCTGTCACTGGAGACTCCCTTCAGGGTCACCTCTAGAAGATGTGGGCTGATTCCAAGTGATCTTAGAGCCCCTCTCCTGGTGAGCTGACCCACTGGACACCTGGGCCCTGCCATGGAATGACAGCCCAGTGAAGAAGGTTCTCATCTTAGTCTTTAGTGCCACCTGGTGGCCAGTGACCATCATAGATCTGACTTGCCTTAAAAGCTGCTCCTCAGAAGCTTTTTATTTTTGAGACAGTCTAGCTCTGTTGCCCGGGCTAGAGTGCAGTGGCGTCAGCCTAGCTCACAGCAACCTCAAACTCCTGAGCTCAAGCTAGCCTCCTGCCTCAGCCTCCCGAGTAGCTGGGACTACAGGCACGCGCCACCATGCCTGGCTAATTTTTACTATTTTTAGTAAAGACAGGGTCTTGCTCTTGCTCAGGCTGGTCTCGAACTCCTGACCTCAAGTGATCCTCTTGCTTCAGCCTCCCAGAGTGCTAGGGTTACAGGCGTGAGCCATCGCACCAGCCTAAAGAACTTACCCTGTCCTGTAACTTCATTCCACAGAGAAGGCGCATAGAACAGCACTGACCTGCCCAGTCACATAGCAATTCATTCCTTTCTTTCGATTCATGCCTTAAAATGTGAACGAACACGACCTGAGTGCCAGGCACTATGGTGTGGGTGACACAGCAAGCCAAAAAGACAGACAAGCAGGGCTGAAGGAAAACAAATAAACAAGAAAAAATATCAGTGATAGGAGCTGTGTGGAGAAGTAAAATATAGAGCTGGGACAGAGAGTCACTGGGAGGCTGCTTTAAATTTGGAGGTGAGGGAGGGTTTCTGGGAGGAGGTGATGTTTATTTATTTATTTATCTATTTTTGAGACAGAGTCTTGCTCTGTTGCCCTGGCTAGAGCGCAGTGGCGTCATCACACCTCACTGCAACCGCAAACTCCTGGGCTCAAGCGATCCTCCTGCCTCAGCCTCTGGAGTAGCTGGAACTACAGGCACATGCCGCCATTCCCGGCTTATTTTTTCTATTTTTTAGTAGAGACGGGGTCTCACTCTTGCTCAGGCTGGTCTTGAACTCCTGAGCTCAAGTGATCCGGCCGCCTCGGCCTCCCAGATGGCTGGGATTACAGGCGTAAGCCACCATACCCGGCCCGACGTGACATTTAATATAGCTGAATAATAAGCTGGTTTGCAAAGACCTTCAGGAACAGCATTTCAGGCAGAGAGGGTTGCTTACGTCCTTGAAATGAGGATGACCTTTTGTGTTTGAGGGATTGATTATGTTCAATTTATCTATTTTTTTATTTTCTTGCTCATTCTTTGGGTGTTATATCTAAAAATCCTTTACCAAATCGAAGGTCATGGAGATTTACCTCTATGTTTTCTTCTAAGAGTTTTATAGTTTTAGCTCTTAAATTTTGATCTATTATTATCCATTTTAACTTAATTTTTTATGCTATAAAATAAGGCTCCAGCTTCATTCTTTTGCCTGGGACAATCCAGTTGTCCCAGCACTATTTGTGGAAAAAACTATTCTTTCTCCATTGAATGGTCTCGGACCCCTTGTTGAAACTCAGTTGATTGTAGATGTATGGACTTATTTCTGGACTCTTAATTCTATTCAATTTTTATATATGTCTATACTTGTGCCAGTACCATACTGTCATGATTATCATTGTTTTTTATAATAGTAAGTTTTGAAGTTGGGAAGTATGAGTTCTACTTTTTTCTTTTTAAATTTATTTATTTATTTATACCTCATCCTAGAATCCAAAGGCATCTACTTTGCTCTTTTTCAGAATTGTTTTGGCTATTTAGGGTCCCTTGCAATTCCATATGAATTTTAGAATAGGCTTGTCAATTTCTACCAAGCAGTCAGCTGGTAGGTAGGGGCTGCTCTAAATCTGTAGGTCAGTTTGGGGAGTATTGCCATCTTAACGATGTTAAATCTTCTATGAACCTGAGATGTTTTCCCATTTATTTAGATCTTCTTTATTTTGTTGTTATTTATATATTTATTTTTGGGGAGAGGATCTCCCTCTGTCACCCAGGCTGGAGTGCAATGGTGTCCCCATAGCTCATGGCAGCCTTGAACTCTCTAGGCTTAAGGGATCCTCTTGCTTCAGCCTCCTGAATGGCTGGGACTACATGCGCATGCCACCATGCCTGGCTAATTATTTTTATTTGTTGTAGAGATGGGGCTCTCACTATGTTGCACTGGCTGGTCTTGAACTCCTGGCCTCAAGTGATCTTCCTGCCTCAACCTCCCAAAGTTCTGGGATTACAGGTGTGAGCCATCGCCCCCAGCCTAAATCTTCTTCAGTTTCTTTCAACATGTTTTACAGTTTTTAGAGCGTAAGTTTAAAGTTCTTTTATTAAATTTATTCTTGAGTATTATATTCTTTTTGATGTTATTGTGAATAGAATTTTCTTAATTTCATTTTTGGATTGTTCATTGCAAATCATATTAGAAACATAATTTATTTTTGTATATTGATCCTGTATTCTGCAACCTTGCTGAACTCATTTATTCTAATAGTTTTTTAGTGGATTCCTTAGGATTTTCTATATGTAAGATCAGTCATCTGTGAATAGTTTTGCTTTTTCCTTTTCAAACTGGGTGCCTTTTCTTTCTTTTTCTGGCCAAATTTCCCTGGCTGGAACCTCTAGTACAATATTGAATCGAAGTGGCAAGAGCAGACATCCTTGTCTTGTTCCTGATCTTAGGGGGAAAGCATTCGGGCTTTTACCATTACGTATGTTAGCCGTGGGTTTTTTATAGAAGTGCTGTATCAGATTGAGGAAGTTCCTTTCTATTCCTAGTTCAGTGTTTTTTTTTTTTAAATCATGAAAGGGTGTTGGATTTTGTCAAATGCTTTCTCTGTGTCTATTGAGATGATCATGTGATTTTTGTTTTTTATTTTATTGATGTGATGTACTACATTAATTTATTTTCAGATATTAAACCAACCTAGCATCCCTGGGATAAATCTCACTTGGTCATGGAGTATGATTCTTTTTTTTTTTGAGACAGAGTCTCACTCTGTTGCCCTGGGTACAGTGCAGTGGCATCATTGTAGCTCACAGCAACCTCAAACTCCTGGGCTCAAGCGATCCTCCTGCCTCAGCCTCTTGAGTAGCTAGGACTACAGGCACTAGCCACCAGGCCAGACTAATTTTTCTATTTTTAGTAGAGACAGGGGTCTCACTCTTGCTCAGGCTGGTCTCCAACTCCTGACCTCAAGCAATCCTCCAGCCTTGGCCTCCCAGAGTGCTAGGATTATGGGTATGAGCCATGGTGCCTGGCCAATTCTTTTTTTTTTTAATTTTTAATTATTATGGGTACATAATAGTTGTATATCTTTATAGGGTACATATAATGTTTTGATACAGGCATACAATGTGAATTAATCAAATCAGGGTAATTGGGATATCCATTACCTTAGGCATTTAACATGTCTTTGTGTTAATAATATTCCAATTCTACTCTTTTATTAATAGTTATTTTAAAGTGTACCCTAACTTATTGATTATAGCCACTTTGTTATGCTATCTAATATTGTTCATTCTATCTAACTACCTAACTATATTTTTGCATGTACTGGTCATGGTATATAATTCTTATAATAATAAAATTATTATTTTTTAAGTCACACAATTTTGGGGTAATCTACTAAGCAGCAATGGAGAACTAGTTCAAGCTGCCTGATACAGATACCTCAGCACAGATACCCTTTGCTCCCTCAGCTCCCAGGGTAGCGTAGCCAAGAGTGGGGCAGATACCTTCTCAGCGGCCTGCTCTCTAAGCCAGCTGTAGGGGCCTCTTCTCTCCAGTGGCTTGTGTGTGGGGGCTTGGGTAGTCTAACTAACACAGAGCTGGGGCCAGGTTCTCCCTCTGCTCTCTGATGGCAGGGGTGTCACAGCTGGAGCAAGGAGCATATGGAGACAGAGCTGGGACTAGAACCTGAGCCTCATGTCCCCTGGGTCTCCATATTCTTTCATTAGTAGCGAGGACTCAAGCTTGAGTCTTAGCTATGTCCTCCTGTGGCTTTCAGTTAGGGTTAGGTACATGTCGAAGACAGGTGTTATCTATTTGCATGACGGTCTAGGCTGTCTCCTGGAAAAGAATTCACCCTAAGTAAGGAGAGAGGCCCTCAGGTTTGGTTGGTGGAACCCTCTCCTGCTGGAGAGCAGAGCAATGTTGTGTATAGCAATGTTGTGTATAGCTGGCCTGTTGCTCAGGCTGTCCTCTGCTCCTTGGCCCCTAGTCCCAGGGGAAGGGGGCTGTGAACACTACTGCAGGAATGGCTTCGCTACATCCCAGAGAGACACTTGGCACCCTGTAGAGAGATGCCCTTGTGTGCTGGGAACACACTTGAGAGGGTATTCCATGCACACACAAGACTTCCTCTGCACAGTCCCAAAGGAGGGTGGGGTCTTATTTTCAAAAGGGGATAGCTTTCTAGCTATTTTACTAACGTAGGCTAGAGTGACATAAATACCTTTGCTGAGCCAGGCATACCTTTGCTGAGCCAGGCGCAGTGGCTCACACCTGTAATTCCAGCACTTTGGAAGGCCAAGGTGGGAGGATTGCAGGAGTTCAAGTCCAGCCTGGGCAACACAGCGAGACCACCATCTCTACAAAAAATTAAAAACTTAGCCAGGCATAGTGGTTTATGCCTGTAGTCACAGCTACGCGGGAGGCTGAGGATTGCTCGAGCCCAGGAGTTTGAGTGAGCTATGATTGCGCCACTATACTCCAGCCTGGACAACAGAATGAGACCCTGTCTCAAAAAACGAAACAAACAAGAAGTAAAAAAAAAAAAAAAAAAAAAAAGAAATACCTTTGCTGAAATCCAGAGCCTATTATCACTCCCAGGCTGGTGTGGCTGGAGGCCTGAGAAGCTAGAGTCACTCATTCAGAACACTTGTCATGTCTTCCTGCCCTGGTCAAGGCCTGAGCCAAACTCCAGCAGAAATGGCTGAGACATAGCCTTTCCCTCAAGGTGATCCCTGACCAGTGGAGGAGCCAGAAAACCCCAATAATGAGCAGTCAGTGTCATGATAAAGATATGCACTTAGTCAAGCCTGGAGGCTTCCTGGAGGAGGTGGTAAGTGGAGTCTGCCCCAGGGAGTGGCATCGAGAAACCCATGGGGTGGGTGTTGAAAGCTCAGGGAGCAGTGAGAGCTGAGGATGAGGGTTTGGAACATTCTCTTCCTCCTTTTCATCCATCTCTGCCCACTTCCTCTTTCCCTCCCCCTTTTGTCCTTTGCTTCCTTTTGTCCCCTTCCCTGCAGTGTGCCAGCCTCCGCAGTCCAGGCCCGTCGCTCACCAGACCTAGGTCCCTACTAACTGCTGGTCCTGGCATGTATAGATTCCAAGGGAAAGGAGTTTTCCAAACTTCTATCAAATCAGGAGAGCCCAGGTGAGGAGGGGGAAGGAGCCTTTGCAGGCACAAATTCCTGACGTTTCTGGTGTCGCTACACCCATGTGCCACCAGCAGTCCTGACCCTGCAGCCGCATGGATAGCACACATCACATGTGTATTTTTTTTATAGCATTATTTGTTTCTGATTATATAATAAAAGCTACACATACCACTACTTTTCCTTTTCTTATATTTAATCTTATTCTTACCACACAAAGTGTACATTGTAGAAAAATCAATATGCACAAATACGACAAGGAGGTAGTCCAGCAGAGAGGATAGGAGCGCAGAGTTCAGAGCCAGCTGGGGTAGTGACTTAGTCTCCTGTGCCTCAGTTTCCTCATTACAAAGTAAGTATAATCATCACTCCTAATTCGCAGGTGCCGAGCACATGGTGTGTGATATGGAAGTGTGTGTTATTATTATTGACAAGTAAAGATAGAAAAAATAAAGGAAAAATGCATCTATAATTCTATGAGCCTGAGATAAGCACTGTTAACCCTTTCGGATATAGCCTTTCACAGTTTTGCTATGTGTGTATACTTTATAAACATGGTCGGTTCCACAGCTTGGTATGCAATATGGTCACAATTCTTATTTTCCCAATTAATTGTTCATGCTTGCGTATGTCTTATTGGCAAGAAATTCAGAATCTTGAGACCACCCTGAATTATTCAAAAATACGGGGGGTTTACGCCATGCCTGGAATACTTCATGACTGCTGTTGCTCCACATGACCACATGGTGTCGCTATTGAAGCCTGGTCCTAACCAGTCCACAGGATGCGCAGGTGAATGATGCTTTTTGAAAACGTGCCAAACAACGAGGAGGGTTCCAGGCTTGAGATTCCAAGCTCGCAGCTCCCAGAATTCAGCAGTTCTTGTTTCCCTGCACACTTTCTGCTATCTATTGACCGCTAGCTTCAGGAGCCCTAGATTGGGACTGCTTCTGGCATCTGCCACCTTCTAGTTGCAGAACCTCAAAATTTCCTCTCCTCCTTGGGAGGCCACACCAGGAGCTCGTTTAAACCTTCCATCCTGGAAGACGTTGTCTGCTCACCCAACGACCAGTGTCTTTCCCCTTATTCCCCACAGACAGAGGTGGCCACCTTCCCAGCTTCTCTTGCAGCTGGGGCACGGACGTGTGACTGAATCCTGGCCAATGGGCCCTGAGGGAACACTAGCTGGGGGATTTCTAGAAAGAATTTTCCCCCCTAATAAACATACATTTCAGGAGGAATCCTCTTCCTTCTTATCTGTGAGATGACACACCTCAAAATGGAGGCCGTGGTAGCCAGCCTGCAAGATGTGGCACCGGTGCCCTTGGGTAGTCCCCTCCCACTATGAATCGCAGCTGGCCTGTGTGACCAACAGACCACAGCAAAATAGAGACCTGGAAGGCCAGGTCATGAATGGTGTTGCAGTTTCTGCCTTGGTCCCTACTGGACTGCTGCCTTTGGAGAAAGCCAGTCACCATACTGTGAGGACACTCAAGCAGTCCTGTGGAAGGGCTCATGCGGAGAGGAGCCAACAGCCAGCACCAGCCTGCCAGACACATGGGTGAGCCCCCTTGGAAAAGGAGCCTCCGGCCCCAGTCAAGCCTTCAGATGACAGCAAAGAGGAGAGACCTTGGGCCACAGCCACCCATCTAAGCTGCTCCCGAATTCCTGACCCACTGACACCACAAGAGATAATACATGGCTGCTATTGTTTAAAGCTGTGAGTTTTGGAGGGGGATTTGTTACACAGCAATAGAAAGTAACCAAAGGCCAACACTATAAAGATTTCGGAGAGGAAAGATGAAAAACACTGGAGTCTTTGATGATGTCTTGGTTGCCACTGAGTTAACCAACCTTGAAACTGCTTATTTCTTGACTTCTTATGTGAGATAATTAATGAGTATCCTTGTTTCGCTGCTGTTAGGTCTGCTGTTACTTGCAGCCAAAGACATCCTTATTGATCCATCTTCTAAAAGAAGACTCCCTGAGGATTTTTTTTTTTTTTTGAGACACAGTCTTGCTCTGTCGCCCTGGGTAGAGTACAGTGGAGTCATTATAGCTCACTACAACCTCCAACTTCCGAGGTCCAGCAATCCTCTTGGTTTTAGTCTCCCGAGTAGCTGGGACTACAGGTACATGCCACCACACCCAGATAATTTTTCTATTTTTAGTAGAGACAGGGTCTCACTATCTTGCTCAGGCTGGTCTCAAACTCCTGAGCTAAAGTAATCCTCCCACCTCGGCCTCCCAGAGTGCTAGGATTATAGGCGTGAGCCACTGTGCCTGGCTTCCCTGAGGATTTCTGATGAGTGATTCCCAGGTGATTTTCCTGTCACTTTTTATTATGTGAGACTAGACATTTCTTTTGCTAAAAAAAGAAAAAAAAAAAAAGGACCCAAATTTAAACTCTGATGAGAGCGCCTCTGGAAGGGCCTCCACCAAAAATAATCTCAAATGAACTTCTATATTATTCAGAGTTCATGGGGGCAAGTAGCCAAATAAGTTATGGTTGGCCAGCTCCCAAGCTTTTTATTTATTTATTTATTGAGACAGGGTCTACTCTGTCTTCCTGGCTAGAGTGTAGTGACATCATCATAATTCACTGCAACCTCCAACTCCTGGGCTCAAGTGATCCTCTTGCCTCAGCCTCCCAAGTAGCTGGGACTATAGGCATGTGCCACCAGGTTCGGCTAATTTTTCTATTTTTCATAGAGACAGGGTCTCGCTCTTGCTCAGGCTGTCTTTTATTTATTTTTATTATTTTAACCTAAATAAAATCATCCTGGACATGATTTTGTACACTCTTATGGAACACCTTCAGATCAACACAGACTAACATCACGTACAGGGCTGCCTGGCGCTCCCTTGTATGGAGGGACCATAATTTATTTAACCAAACCCTGAAACTG